GGGGGGGGTGGAGAGTCTTGACCTAATGTAATATTACACTTTTGTGAGGTGAAAAAATGTTTTTGACATAATGATGAACACTGCCTTTGTTGATGATAACTAATTTCACTTTTTGTTTCTGACCATAATGATCAGTAATATTATAATGTACTAATAACAGATACAGTGGAATCCTGATAAAGTCATCTTGCTTAAAGTCAACTCTTGCTTACAGTCAACACCTCACTGTGGTCCTGTTTTTTGTCTTCTTAGTTTATTAAGTAATTTTAAGTAGATCTAATAGTATTTCTGATACAGTTAACCGCTTGAGTGTTTTAAAGCTTGCATAAAGTCAACAATTTAGGGTTAAATCCCAAGATGAATTCATTTAAGAAGAGCTATATTTAGGTACTGAGCTAATGGTGTACACACCTCCTATTACTTTGTTCTTTCATAAATCTTTTGTTTTGGTGACAAATTCAGAATTATACTCCGTGAAATTGAGATTACATATTGTTTAGTGCTTTGTAATTTTGTAGCTGTCATCTTCAATTTTCAATGGCCAGTAGTACAATGGATAAAGTCAACCTTGCTCAAAGTCAACACCCCGGTTATCAGAATTCCACTGTAATTTGTTGTATAATTGTAATTAAGGCGCTTTTGTCATTGACATGAGTCTCAATGTTTTCCTTATTAGTAAGAAAGAGTGTACATATTTTGCTTGAATGATTTACATACTCTAATGAATGAGGCAGCGTGGTGAAATCAGGAGCTCGTCAAAATAATGAAAGTGAAAAAACTGGCATTTTTTAGCAGGTTTGGGAACTTTTATAATTATAGAATTTTTGTATTTACGCTACACAACTTTTACGTCCATATAATAACACATTTCCAAGCGAAATTTACTGAAAAAACGTTCACTACATGAGGCTCTCAAGCTATATATTGAAGTTATCAAACTTTGGCGGCCGTTTTCTCACTAAATTTACCTCTGAAATCAGGTGACCAACACCTCCTTCAATAGCAAATATTTCGACTTCTATTCAGCATAGATGATAGCGTTTTCATCAAAAGGAAGGCAAACGGACAGGCTTTAAGATGATATCAATAACTCCGTGCCTCAAAACTGACGAGCGCCTGATCCCACCATGTCGCGACACCTATTATTTTTATTATTATAATGAGCATGTAAGTGTGTATCATGTATGTATGTTTTTTTATGAATAGTATGCAATGCACAAATGGCATATAGAACAATGATTGTTTTACGGATTCGCAGTGTCTACGTACACGGTAACCGGGCACCTAGCCTCAGTGTCTATGTACACGGTAACCGGCAACCGGGCACGAAGTCTCAGTGTCATGTACACAGTAACCGGGCTTGTAGCCTCAATATCTACGTACACGGTAACTGGCAACAGGCATGTAGTCTCAGCGTCACGTACACGGTAACCGGGCAGTTCAGAACTCCCAAGTTCTGTTTTTGTCATCCGGTGTTGCCTTCATCCCCACCCCTACCCCGACTGTACCTTAAAAAAAAAAATCAATAATCCCTACCATTCTGGAGCCCTCTATACTTCGCAGAGCACAGACTTAGAATGAACTTTGGTGACCCCAATGGGTACTCACAATATGATGCACATGCACAGGTTCACTGACTGTTCACAATGGCGAGCCCGACAAGATGCCTGTACGACTTTCTTTTTTCAGCAAGAGACAACACAGGACAAATATTGATTTATTTTTTATTTTCATTCCGGTTACCGTGTACGTAGACACTGAGACTAGGTGCCCGGTTACCGGGTACGTAGATATACTAAGACTAGGAGAGACTGGTGCCTGGTAACCGTATATGTAGATACTGAGACTACATGCCCGGTTACCGAGTATAGACACACCATTACGGATTTGCGCAATAT